TAAGGTTGACTCTATATTGCATTAGGGTTATCTTTAGTTTAATTTTGAGGATAAGCGACTAATTCCTATCACTCTTCTCCCTCTTTTATGTGAAAATCCAAATATTTAGGGTAATGGGGGCTTTGATTTTAGTTCCCTTGGGTTTAGACTGAACCCATTAGTTTATTTAAGATTTTAGAGAGTTAAATCAAGCTTCTAACCTTTAGCTTATGACTTTCGTGGTGATTGAGAATTTTTGGTAAGGGTTTTTATGAACCCTAAGTATAATTTGAGGATTTTGAGACAATGTGGAACATGGATTAGCAATTTGGGAGTATTGAAATTTGTAATAAGATGGTTAGAGTGCATGAGAATAGTTGATATTGTTAGAGAAGGAATTTAAGTATTTTAAGCACCTAGAACCTAGTAAATTCAGAGTTATCTGGAGTGATAATTGACGATTGTCACTTATTGGTATAGATTGAGCGTTGCTTGAGCCATATTGTGCATATAAAACTTATGGAGCTAACGTTGAGCCATAGTAACCTTTTTGTGTGATAAAAAGGTTGAGATAACCATATAATTTATTGTGTTTATTAACTATTGTAACTGTGTAGAAGTAATTCTAAATGATTAAGTTGTGGTTTTGAATAGTTTTGTGCATAATTTGACATTGTAAATGATTTTAGCATGAAAGGGTGTTTTGTAAATGGTTATTATTTTTGATTAAAATATATATATATATATATACTATGTATATAAGTGTGTAATAGAAATGTGATGGAAAGTAGTGAAAATTGTGAAAAAGCATGATCATAGGGGGTGGGAGTTCACTTAAGATATGTAGAGATGTGTGTATGTGGAGATTTATGAGTGAAAAATCTATATAGTCGGGTTGACACCATGGGACATCAGGTGCAGCATTATATGGGACTGTTACCATAGGACATCCGGGCAGTCTAGCAACTCCCTAGTATCCGTTAAGGTGCGGTTAGGAGTCAACGACATCTCTATCATAAGTGTGTGAAGAGGGAAAGACCATAGTCTGTAGGCGGGTTAGATTACCTTTAGCCGGATATTTCTACCACCGAAAGTGTACTCGGGTCAATAAGTGGTTGAACCAGGAGAGCTTATGGTTTCATGTCAGGGAGCATTGGAGGTTCGGTGGTTAGATGATCATGCTAGTGTAAAACTATGTGTTTTGTTGAGAAACGATACACTTATCTTGTAATTATAGTATGCTTGTTAATACTATAGTTTTGATACTTTTTCATGGTTATTTGTGAAAATAAATATTTAATGAGATATATTAGTTACTAAGATGTCTATCCCATCCCGTGGTTATATTTTACAGGTGAAGGCTTCGGTATGGGCAAGGGGAAGAAAGGAGCATTTGAAGAGTGAAGAGCATCATAGTATAACTCTTCCCTTTTCCCTTTTTATATGTGGTAACGAATATTGTCGATAATTATTGCCAACTTAGGAATATGTCATTATTTGGATATCACTTGTATGAAATTGTGATAAGTGTGTATACCTTGGTCTAACAATGATGATACGAATTAATTGTGTACTTGGCCAAGTTGATTACAAGTGATATATATATATATATATATTAAATGTTTTGAGTGTCAAAATGACCAATTGATTGATGTGTTGGATTTGAGGTGGTTAAGTTGTCTTCGAGGCTAATGGCATTGTGTATTGTGAATTAGACACCATAATATGTGTTTTGTTATGAAAATGAACCATTTTGGATTTGGGTGTCCATCTTTTAAATGGATGATTGTATGAGTGTAAGACAGTGCCATTAGCTAGAGGGCTCAAAGAGCTTCGTGTGGATACTTGAATCGCTCAAATCGAATGTTGAATAGTGAAACGACACACTCTGGAAGTTCAGAGAAAAGTCATGACAGCAACCTGCTATCATGATAGCAGGTGCGTGCTGCGACGCATGAGACCCTCGAGGGATTCGTCCCTTTGTGCCATCACCGCAGTGGACAGAGCAGCATTTGCTAAAAATGGCGTTTAAGCAAGATTTTGTTGTAGTTTGTTTCCTATGCTTCTGTATTTGCTTTTAATCAATTTTTAACTATGGTTTGAGCTCAAACTATATTTAAAAAAAAAGAGTTTTTTTGGGATCCCAATGTTTTAACTAATTATTTTCAAACCTTGAGTTGTGATAGCTTTGGTAGGGGGCTTTATTAATCCTAATCATCATAACAATGTGTGAGTGTTATTCTGGTAATGTCAAGGTGGATATTACAGCTGTCATGACAAGTGCATCGTGGCTGATGCTACTTAGATGCAACGCATGTCATAGTAAGTGATGACCGTGGTAAAAGAACTTGTTGGCCGTGGCTAATTTTCTTTACAGCACATGTCATGTCAGTCATAGCATATTGTTTGATTAGGGCAAAAATGACTATTTTGACTTGTTTTCAACTTCTTTTGATTTTCATGCTTTTAAAATGGTTCACAGTCTAATTTATAAGTATTAACTAGCCTTCAAAAACTTGATTGTGATTTTAAATGATTTTGGGATCCCATATTCTGAAGAATTTCATATTTAGCCATATTTTCCTCGTTTCATTTAGCTATGATTAATTCTTTCTACTATAGAAACTTTTGCTATTGATTTATTCTGTTTTAATTATCATGGTAGAGTCAAATTATGGTTAAGTATTTGGTAAATTTTTCTGTGTTAAGTTGAGGACATTACAATGTTCTTCTAACAAGCATGGTGGTGGTATGACAAGTAAGAGTATTGTTTTAATAAGTATGTACATCAAAGATGACAAGTAACAATAGCAATTTGAAAAATAACAAGCATAGTACAATAGTAAAAAAAATTGACAAGCAAAATTATTTTTATCTTTTCTCCAAATTTTTTGTTAGATATGATGTTAGAGACTACAAAATAAATTTATAATGATTTGATCTTTTTCGCAATTAATGTAATACAATAGTCCTTCAATGCGAGATTTTCTCTTTAATTCTCCTATAACTTGATTTATCCCCAGTATTCCCTACAATCACTTTCTTTAATTGTGGAGGATTTGTTTTCATATCCCTCCATGATTATCCATTTTCCGCTTTATCATCCTTTAGAATGCGTATTGATGAATCCATAAAAATCAATATCTAGCAGAACTTAATATTTATTATAGATAATCGTTCAATGTTTTTAATGAAATCTATAAAATTATAACAAATATAAGTTGCCATAGGTAGTAAATGCTCTATTATTTAAATAAGTAGTTGGAGATTGAATCTTAATCTTTATTTATAAAATTAGCAATTTAGCTTAGAGGATCTATTATTTTCTTTTTGTATCCCGAAATAAATAATCTCTTAAATTTCATGTCCTTAACTATGCTTTAGATTATTTATATGGAGATGTGAATGATTTTTTTCTTTTTCTTTTTTCGTTTTAAATATATTTCAAGTGAAATTTCATGTCCTTTTCACATCTACAGATTGCAGGAAATTAAGGCAAGCTTAAAAAAAAGTTAAAATACATTTTTATTTCTGTTTTTTCTTTTAAAAAGTGCTAGTGTCTTATGTGGCATTTTTTTTTAAATTATTTTTTAAAAAAGAAAAAATTTTCCTTCATAAGTGATCCAAGAAAGATTTTTACTCTTTTAAAAAATATTTTAAAAAACTATCTCATTCATTAATATAAAATGTTCAGTGTTTTTTTTGGATGAAAGTATACAGTGTATTTTAATTTTTTTAATACTTTATAATGATTAAAATTATGAAAATTCGGGAACGTGTCAAGCTACGGAATCGTGAATTCTTTAGTAGTTGACTTATAGTTGCAAGTCACTTGAAGAGCCTTTGACCTCATCAACCGTTCTTCTTCCTTTTGCTTCACTTGTCTTTCTCAATCAAAGTACAAAGTGCTTCTCAAGATATCATCAAATGTTTAATAAACTAGATTTACCCCGTGCATGAGATCAGAATATTTTAGCATTTAACAAATAAATATAAATATAAATATAAAGGTTAAAAATGATTTTAGTGAGCTTTATTTTATGATTTTATATTCTTTTACAAAGCAAAAATAAAGAATAGGAAAAAGTTTAGTCAGAATTCCTTAATTGGACTTAATATCACTTAAAACTTTTAAAATTTTAAAATTTTACCACACATGTATATGCAACTAAAATGACCTTATTATTCCTTAACAATTAGTGTGTGAAAAATAAACAATTGATATAAATAAAATTTGTAATTCTCATTAACAATATAATATTAATATGAACATATACAAGTGAAGCTATAAAGAAAATAAACAATTAATGTATGAAAAATAAAACTGACAGAGATGAAATTAGAATTATAAATTTATAATGATATTATGTTATTAATGATTCTACTTACTTTAATTATTTATTTTTTGTACAACGGGTTGTTAGTTATCCTATACAAGTTGTTTATGCACCAAATTTTATTAAGAATGGTAAGCTTATTTGAATTAATTTTTTAATTTCATTTTAATCCTCTGTATGCAGTAAAATTTCAAATTTCAATAAAATTTTAACTGAAATTGAGTTTTGTTAAGCACAATTTTCTTATAATATGATGAATTTAAATTGAAATTTTCCCCTAGAGGGCACATTTAATAGCCGACGGTACTCTAACAAGCTACACTAGAAAAAATCTTCTTTGTCTTCTTTTGTTAAAAACTGGAATCTTCTGAAAATGTTAGTTTCTACTGAAAGGACGAATATCCCAAGGCCGCTCGAGAAAGACAAATGTAGAAAGCTGGGGCCTTATGGTCATTCAATGAATCATTTCGGCATCTACCTTCAGCTGCACGTCCTACCTCTGTTCACAGTTCGCGCACACTATCGTTTTGAGCTTCCTGAAATCACTGCTAATCAGTTAGGCTCTCCATGTCCGAATTCCACCAGGTTCCGTATTCTCTCTTTATAATTCTCATATCCTTTGATTTCAGCTGCTTCTGACCTTCTTCTCGTAATACCGTAACTCTGGAAAATTGGACATGTGTAATTAATTGGATGATTTCTGTTTTATCAGTATGGTTTGCTGTTTTACTTTGGCTTTGAGACATCTACTCATTTGAGACTTACACTCGTTGGACTGAGAAATGAGAAATCCAAAGCTCTTCCTGCTTCTATTTTTCTTAATTAACTCAGATATCTCTTATTTCAAGTTGGTCCAAGTCACTGAGATTTCTCACCCACTTGAGCGAAAACTTGTGGGTCGAGGAGAAAAGGTGTGTCTTCAATTGACTAAATATTTAAATAGAGATCGAACATCGCTATAATAATCTCTGGGGACTATGGTAACCATGTTTTCTTCTGAAGACGTCCATGTTCATTTTTGTTGCAATAATCTGCGGGGCACAGTTATAAATATTTGAAGTTGATTATTCATGATTTTACATTTGTAGTTGGGGAATCATCATTGTGTTTTTCTGAAGTTCATGTTCACGGTTTTATGATGTCACTTGGTCACCCTTATATGTTTCTAAAGTTGTTCAGGTTTCAAATCTCTCTGTAATTTGGATACAGAATGAAATGAAACTTCTTCGATGTTTGACTTCTGTTCCTCTTATGTTTCTTGCAGGGGGTACTAGGTCATAATTTCATTGGTCCAGTTATTTCCTTGAAGATATGATTGTCTCCGCTCTTCTAACTTCTGTTGGGATAAACACTGCTCTGTGTGTGTTATTCTTCACATTATACTCTGTATTGAGAAAACAACCCTGTAATTATGAAGTTTATGCGCCACGCTTGCTAGCTGAAGGAACCTCTAATCGGAGAAGCCATTTCAACTTAGAAAGACTGGTACCTTCAGCTGGATGGGTTGCAAAAGCCTGGAGGCTTTCTGAAGACGAGATATTGTCATTATTAGGATTAGACGGGGTGGTATATATCCGTCTTATAACCTTCAGGTATTTCATTCGCTTCATTTGGTGTTTTTCTGAGCTTATCAAGATAGCTGGCTAGGTAAATCCAAGATCGAGCCAGTATGTGCAAGCATTTCTCGTGGCTCTTAATTCTTTCCTTTTTCCTGTTTGATCCTCATTGCTGCAGTTACAGTAGTTATTGCCATATAAATTTAAAATTTAACTTAAAGGTACTGTACAACAGAGATTAGTGAATAAGTACATCTTTTATCAAGCAACTGTGTTGGACTCCATAACTTGCAGTTTTTTGCTCCACAAACCATTAAGAAAATGTTCCTATTTTGACAGACTTGCTTGATTTCTTGAGTGCAGTTTGAAAATATTTTCTTTTGCTGGGGTTATTGGAATCCTTATTCTTCTTCCGGTAAACTGCTCGGGAGATGCGCTAGAACAATTTGATTTTACCAACGTGACAAGTAGCTCCCTGGATATTTTCACCATATCAAATGTGAAAAATGGCTCTAACTGGTGAATACTACCTCAAGATCTCTTTCGTTTTTATGGTTTTACTGAAGCAGTGCTTGGGGGTTGGGTACTTGTTTCATCCCTGGGACATTTTCCTTTTATCATCTTGCCTCTTAGGGGACCAGCATCTGTATGAGATCTTTATCCTCTATTATCCTTATGTCAGGTTGTGGGTCCACTTCTCTGCGGTGTATCTTGTCACTGGATTCATATGCTTCATGCTGTATAAAGTAAGTTCATGCACTCATAACTTGTGCAACTATAACATCAACCATGATAGTTAGCACCCTTTACATCACACAAATTGTGGTGTTGCCTGATAAGTATTAATATAGAAACATCTTTTGGAAACACTATCAATTATCAAGACAAAAATTGTTTCTTGCTTTTACAGAGTTTGACATTATGAGGATTAATATAAATGCAATATTAATCATATAATGAATACCAAGGCCAACACTTGAACTAGAATACTAGATACCTATCAGTTATCACTCCATACTATTTTATTCTACAGGAATATAAATACATATCTGCAAGAAGGATTTCTTATTTTTATTCATCCCCACCTCAACCACATCAGTTCACCATCTTAGTTCGCAGTATTCCTAATTCATCCAGTTGTAGCATCAGTGACAGTGTTGAGAGCTTCTTCAAAGAGCTTTACCCTTCTACATATTTATCACATGTGGTTGTTCGTCACACAAGCAAGATTCAAAGTCTCCTGGTGAGCACTGCCTCTGATTTAACTTCTTTTTGTGTCCATTAATTTTGTCTATACACCTTCCTAGAAACCTCAGTTATATTCTTCATTTGGATGACAACATGATTATGAATGGCAAATACTTGAAAATAAGAGTTGTGCCTTGATGTCCCTGTCCATCACATGAGATTTATTCTGATTAAGCAAGATAAAAACACAAAAAATTCCTTAATACTTCAGATTCTGTCATAGCACAATGTACACGTCGATGCTTATTTAACACATGTCATGTCTTAACTCAGGTCCGAGAACCTTGTGCATTATTCTTAATGTTTGTGCCAATAATTTTAACACTTAAATGCCATATATTAATACAGTCGGTTTTTCTATAGTTTACTTAGGTTTTATGAGGATCATTGATCATTGGTTAATGTATAATTATTAAAATACTGGAGACCATGTTGATGATGATGATGTTTGATTAAACTATATAATAACTTGTGTTTACTAATTTCTCTTGGTGTTTTTCTGTCTGTCATGTAATCATTTCTGAGCATCATAGTATTGTGATTAAATTTTCTATGAGATCTTCCATAAGAAAATCTTTGTTCTGGAAAAGATGTTACCTCAGAGATATTTTACTACTTATGTTTATCATTATTCTATTGTTGATTAAGTAGCTTGGCTTGTGACTGAACTATTTATTCCATTGCATGAGAGGCAAGTGCTATATTGTTTATGAAATCAGGTTCTTTGATGTACAGGATTTTCTATTTCAATTTTTCTTATTGTACAATTCATTTGCCTCTTTTTATCTAGAATGAAGCAAAAAATTTGGGTAAAAGAATTAGTCAACTACAATCAGATCCTTCTCAGCAAAAGTACAGGCATAGTGGTTTGTTTGGACTTTTTGGAGACAAGATTAATCTTAAAGATCATTATGAGAAGAAGTTGGTGGACATTGAAGAGAATGTAAGACTGGAGCAATCAGAGGCTTCATTGGCAGTAGAAGTATGTGGTAATCTTTATGATCTTCAAAACAAAAATTAAAAAATATTTTACCAATTATTTTCAGTCTTGTTCTGAATTGTATTTCTCTCTACATTTTTTCTTCAATGATAAAGGATACTCGAGCTGCCTTTGTGTCCTTCAAGTCCCGTTTTGCTGCTGCAACTGCTTTCCGTCTGCATCCAGCAGTCAATCCCATTGAATGGATCACCGAGCAAGCTCCAGAACCCCATGATGTTTACTGGCCATTTTTCTCTGAATCATTTATGCGAAGATGGATTTCTAAGTTGGTGGTTATAATTATATTCATCATTTTCACTATATTGTTCCTTATACCTGTCGTAATTGTGCAAGGCCTTACCAACCTGAGCCAGTTGGAACTTTTGTTTCCCTTCTTGAAGAGTATTCTTACCATGTAAGTCACATGATCAACTTTTCTGTTGTTACTGTGTAACTTCTCTCGTGTTTTTTACCTTAACATGTTTCCCATTTAAGTATGGTCACACATTAGATTTGTTGCTTAAAGGAATTCTTATTCTCAGCATTATATAAAGCACAATCAAAGAGATAGTGGACTGTTTCATCAGTATACACTTTTGAGTCATATGCTAAAAGTTGGCGATCATGGATTTTATGCTGTCATGTTGGCCAGGGTAATTAATTATAGATTAGATCTAGAAAGGGCCAAGAGTTTAAATTGGAACATCATGCAAAAGAAAAACTAGCGTATCAAACTGCCATTTCCAGCTTGAAAGAAACAAATGTTTGATGAATGTTTTTGAGTGTATGTATGAAAAGGCTTTTCATAATGGATAAGGGATTACAGTTTCTTACATTGGTCTAGAAATTGTTGGACGCGTGTTTGGCAGCAGTATTTGATGATGAATTTTCATGCCACTAGAAGACTGCTTCTATTATTTCATTTCCATCTTGTCTAAAAATCTATGTTTGTGCATTTTGTATCTTGTCAAATTCTTCCTGGCATTGCTTTTGTTGAGTTGTGGTTTATCAAATATGTGACCTACAATTCCCTCAATCTGCTAATATTACCTTTTTTTCTTTTTTGTTGGTTTCCCTGCTAATATTGCCTTTACATTTGCTGTTCACTCAGTTGACTCAAAAAACCTTCTATGACCTTCTTGCAGAACATTTATCAGTCAAGTAATTACAGGATACCTTCCCAGCCTTATTCTTCAATTGTTTCTGATAATGGTGCCTCCAGTCATGGTGTTTCTTTCCTCCATTCAAGGGTACATCTCTCACAGTAATATAGAAAAGAGTGCATGTGATAAAGTACTGTGGTTCACAGTATGGAATGTGTTTTTTGCAACTGTGTTTTCTGGATCAGCTCTAAATCAAGTGTCCATTTTCCTTGACCCCAAGTCCATTCCTCAGAAACTGGCTGTTGCCGTTCCAGCACAGGTTAGACAATGCTTCTCCCATGGTAATTTTTCCTTAAGCATCTGTTGAAATTATTTTCAAGTGCAATGGAAGTCAATAAATGTTTTGTGTGCATATCTCATTTGATTTCTGCGTATCTTTAGGTGCCTGACCATTTAAAGGGATTGCTAAGGGCCCATCACAGTGGTCGAGAAGTTTCAAACATTATTTGCTATTACAGACAATTCTCCTATCCTTACCTTGTACTCAAGTGGATCAGGCTGCCTTGCTTCTTAAAACCTGATCTATCATAACCCATCCTTTTACCCAAGTGTCAATTAGAATTTTCTACTCTTGCTTATGAATTAACCTCTTTCATTTAAAAAAGTTTTGAGCTTCTTTGATTTTTTGAAGGGGGTATATTCAAGAGCTCGGAAAGGAAATGTTTAAAATTTTCAATGATTTTCTTAAGCATCTAAAGATGAAAATGACAGTGCTGAACTTTTATTAAAATCGTAAATTCTCAAATTGTCTGTTAAACCTCAGTATTGCAAGAATCATGCTGAAGGTTAATTTTAGTAGTTCTTTACTATCAGTTTCTATGAGAATTAAAAATAGGTTTAATTCTATTTATTAGTTTGGGAATTCATATAATCATTGTATGTGTAAAACTATAATGCAATTTACAATACTTTCTACATGTATTCTAATGCCATCAATTTTGACTGCAGGCATCATTTTTCATTGCTTATGTCGTGACATCAGGATGGACAAGCACGTCATCAGAACTTTTCCGGATAATACCTTTAATTTGTGGTTTGATTAGAAGGCCTTTCATGTCTGAGGATGATGAGTTTGAAGTTCCATCCTTTCCTTACCACAAAGATATTCCAAGAGTACTTCTGTTTGGACTTCTTGGAATTACATATTTCTTCTTAGCCCCACTAATTCTACCATTCCTCTTGATCTACCTCTGTCTTGCATACATTGTTTATCGAAACCAGGTCAGCATTTCTTAACATTTTGGTCTTGATGTCTATTTCTAAGAGACAGTATCTTTATTTCTCTGAACTGAATTAATTAGTCACACTTGAGATCCCTTTGACGCACTCCTGAAAGAAATGGAAGATACCTTCTTGACTGAATCTTGTTACTGTTCTAATAGCCGCTGCTAGGAAATTTGAGTTGGTACTGTTATACTTACTTCAGTTCAATTTATAAGACAGAGAGATTTTTTTTTTTTTTGGTCCTATTTATAAGTTACATCATTAAATTTTTATTAAAAATTTTCCTATTTACCATCCATTAAATTTTGATGAAAAAAGTACATTATTGAACCATGTATGTTTAATAGAGGCAAGTTGGGAATTTATTAGAAGTTTAGGCAGAGTTTATGAATTTTATGATTTTCATTGGTTCTGGTGAAATATGTTGAAAGTAACTCGTAGGACCAGAGGAGCATTTATTATGATTGGTTTAATCAACTATATTTGGAAATATTATGGTTGGGATGGGAGATATAGATGTTTAAGATGGTTTGAATGTATTGGCAGCATTGTTTTTCAGGAAAGTATTTGTGGTGATGATTAGTATAACCAGATATCTAAAAACATTAGCCTCATCTATCCATTGTAATGAATTAGCATATTCCTAGCATAGCAAATGACCAATTTTTTCAGTTGATCATGGAGTTTCTGTCAGTGTCATTATTAATCATGAGATTGATATGGATTATACTGATGTTCTCTACCACGTATATTGCAGTTCCTAAATGTATATGCACCCAAGTATGAAACAGCAGGGAAGTTTTGGCCCATTGTGCACAATTCCATGATTTTTTCTCTTGTACTCATGCACATTATTGCAGTGGGAATTTTTGCGCTGAAAAAACTCTCTATAGCATCCACCTTGATGGTTCCTCTTCCTATCATTACTCTTCTCTTTAATGAGTACTGCCGAAAACGGTTTCTCCCCATGTTTGTTGCATACTCTGCGGAGGTATGTTTTCAGTCCACAATAAGAAATCTCTGGAAGAAGATGACTGAAACTGCATGCTGTATCCCATTTTGCCTAAAATATACAAAACTCTCCTGAACTTTAAGGTTGTTGCACAAATTTTTTTACCATAGACTCTCCTACCATTATTTCTTAGTTATCATACTAGCAGAAATTGACATGTCATATTTAAAAAAACATGGTAGCTTATGTGGCATTCAATGTAAGCTAATAATAGCTTTTTGAAAAATGTATCTTTTATTGGCCACTAAATAATAGCAGGGGAGTCTATGTTAAAGGAATAAGAAGTTAGAGAGGTTAATTTTAGAGGTGAGGAGGTTTCATGCAACTGTTTCAAAGTTTAGAGAAGTTTTGTATACCTTAGCTTTCAATTATTTGACTGGGAACTTGACTTGGGTCTGTGTTTCCAGAGTCTGATCAAGAAGGACAGGCAAGACCCCAATGATGGAACAATGGATGAGTTTTATCATAAATTAGTCATTGCTTATGAGGACCCTGCTTTGCAGCCAATTCAGCCACCACCAAACACCAGCACTCTTCGGACTCCCCTTCTATCTTCTTAAATATTCATAAGGCACAATATTTTTACCATGCCTGAGAAGTTATTTGTTTGCTGTTTTCCTGTATGTGATTGTAAAATAGTTTTTTTGGTAGTGAAAGAACGGTAGTGTGGATTGATTGTTCAAAAACTTGTGGTCTGAATTCCAGTGACATGCCTGGGAATTCCTAGAGGGTTAGTGAGAATACCATCCTAAAAAGGCAACTGTATCGGCTTCTTTAATGCTAGATTCTAGCGATGGAGCAAATTATTTATTCTTCATGTATAGTTTGTTGTGCCTTACGTATCTTAATGATTGCTGATTCTTCCACATCCATATACAAACCATCCTCCACCCCCCCGGGGCCCGGTTTCTTAATAGAAGTTTGTTTAATGGTAAAATCACAAACTAGGAGCCCCAACTATCACAAATAACCAATCAAGATAACAAAATTATGAAATTAAATTTTAGGACTATGGTTTTTTTTTTTTGTAATTTTAAAAATAATACTTGGACAAAAATGTCCCTGTCTGAAATGTCAATTTAAGATTTGCTAGTATTGGAATAACTTTATTTGGGTTAAAAATTTAGTTGAAGGGGCTATGAAATCATTTTAAGTTGAGAACATTTTTATGTCATTAGTCAACTTAAATTTTGATAGTACTGAAATCACTTTAACTGGGTTGAAAATTAAGTTAAAGGAAATTATGAAATCACTAAGAAAATTTTTTGCTTCTAGGCTCGTAAAATTGCTCACTAAACTTGCAGTGGGCCAACTTAAAATTCAATAATACTAAAATCACTTTATTTAGGTTTGAAATTTAGTTGAAAGGGATTATGAAATTATTTTCTTTAAGTTGGAAAATATTTTATTCCTCGACTTGCAAACTTGTCACTAGACAGGCATCTTAGTTGTAGTATTATTTTTAAAACTACATAAAAGGATTATGGTCCTAAAATTTAGTTTCATAAGTTTGTGGTTTTGATTGATTCTTTTGTGATATTTGGAGACCTTTATTTATGATTGTCCCTTATTTTAATTACCCACACACAGTTCATCTTTTTTACCTTGCTCTAAATGTGTTTATTCAGAGTAATCTAGTTAAAGAATGAAGATGATGCTTAACTACCTCATCTGGGCTTAATTAGGGGTTGAGATGCTTGACAAGCCTGAGAAAAAATTATGTGGACCTCAAATTTTAGAAGCCCATAGGGTTCGGGCCTTTGTGCCAGATCAAGCCCAGTGTATGTTCAAGATATAGTGATCAGGTTTGTTGAAACTTGAAACAACCTTGGAAGGTTGTCTGTATTTTAAGTTGCTCCATTCATGACTTATGAACAGTTACTAATTCACTATATATTTTACATTTTATATCAAATATTGATATTGATATTTACATTTTTTTTATTAATATGAATCAAGAAAGAACTTCACACCCAGCAAATCATGGTGGATATTTTCAGAAGGTAACGAAGAATGAAACTTATGACCAACGCAAACCATTCATGCTGTGGTGAAAATAATTCAGAAATCAAGCACATGATTTAGAGTTACATGTTCTTTGAACTTGGGAAGTAGATACTGTATTGTATGTTGTAAAATATTCCTTTCGGTCCTTCTAAAAAAACATCTATTAACAACTTTATGTATACTATTAAGGAAGTTGGTTAAAATAAATTATGTTCTATAAAATTTAAAAATTATCCTCAAAAAAAGACATTAGTTAGGGTATTTTGATTAAGGGATAAAGGGAAAAATACCTAAGAACTTTTATGCTAGAAACATTTAGTATCCTTAAATTAACGTAAGTGTTGGAATACCCATTAATTCTTTTTAATAAAGGTATCCTTCTCTGAACCATTAAAATGGTTAATGTCCATTAATGTGGATATGAGATGTTGGGTTAATAAATAAAAGTACCCAAAAAAAATTCTCTAAGAGCAAAAATACCCAGACTTAACCAAAAGCTTCTAGAAAAAAAAATTATGAATATTTTTTGCACATTTTCTTTGTTTTCATTATGTTTAGGAAAAACATAATTCTTAGTCCCTTAGTTTCATCTGTTTTTACTTTTAGTCCCTATAATTTTTTTATAGTGTTTTTAGTCCCTATAAGAATTAAAATCACTGAAAAATGAAAACTATAGGGGACCTAGAAAATAAAAATTACCCAATCTTTGTAAAAATATAGAGACTAAAAACATTGAAAAAAATTATAGGGACTAAAAATAAAACCAATAAAACTATAGAGACCAACAATTGTGTTTTTCCTTATATTTAATGATCAATAATAACATATGTTAAGCAAATTTAATGGGATGGGGAAGGATGTCCTCACTAAAAAGAATTCATAGATATTTATACACTATTGTTGACTTAAGGATACTAGATATCAATATATTGAAAACCAAACCAGTTATTGAATTGTCAAGACAGTAGGTTGAAGGTTAGTGGTTCAATCGCGATTAACTCAAAATCAAACTGGTCTTAATTAAAATAATATAATTAAGTTTATATACATAAAAATATTCATATTTTTAATATGAAAAAATTAACATTTAAATAAATGAGAATATTCAAGTAAAATTTATAATTTTTTTCTTTTACATTTTTAAAATGAATAATTTAGTTTCTATAAAAAATAATTTAACATATTTCATTTACCATCCTCATTTTCTATCATGGACAGCATTTCCACACACATACTGTGTGAAGTAGGCATTTAAACTTGTCTTAGTATAATAGCATATGACTTTTTGTATTGCCTAATTAATAAATATAAATGGTAATGCAATATGGTATTGTGATTTTGTCTCCCTCCATTTTTTTTTTGAATAAAAGGTCACGAGAACAACGTGCAGACGACATGTTATATCATGTTAGCGTATAAAAAATTTCTACATCTGAGTGGTGGAGTGTCAAAAATGTAAAGATTAAAATTATTGGTAAAAGCTTGATGTGCCAGCCAATTTGCACATTTGTTTGCCTCACTGTAGACATGATCAAAGGTGACCATCTAGTCTTTCATAACAAGATTTCTAATTTTGTTAATAGTAGCAATTAGATGGTAATTTGTAGAGAACTCGTTGCGTATTAATGTGAGAGCTTCCATAGAGTCAAAGTAGACATGAACTTTATCAATCTTTTCATCCCAACAAATACTTAGTCCTTTCAATAAGCCCAAAAGCTCAGCTCCTATGCATGGATAGCAACTAAGATACTTGGAGAAGCCTTTGATCCAATTCCCATGTTTATCTCATATGAGTCCAATGCAGGAAGTAGCACTTTAATTATTAACTGAGCTATTTATATTAAGTCTAACCCATCCATCTTTAGGGTATAACTATTTAGTGTTTGTTCTATCGCCTTGTTGATTCATAAAATTAATTTTTGATTGAAGACATTGACCATTGAGTATATCCTAGATGCTGGTAAATGTGATGTCTCTCTTAGGATTATCTTTTGTGGAGTAGATGATTTTGCATCTGTTTTTCTAGATATTCCAACATACATGGGCGAATAATTTCTGTTAAGGGATCTTTCTCAAACAAGCATTGCTCGCATCATAGTCAACATTCCAAAATATCCAGTCTTATAGAGGAAGAGAAAAAAAGTGTTAAGTTTAGATTGTTTAACTAATTTTATCCAAACCTTTTTACAAGTCTTGTAATCTCTCAAAATGTGAACGGTTGAATCTAAGGAGTTGCAGCCAAAGGGGCATGGCCTAGGAAAGGTATTGCTATCATTAGAGTGGGTGAACTTAAGTTGAAGACGATCCCAAGCCGCTTTTTAAGAAAGGTCTTGATCTTTTCATACATTGGCCATTTCCAGATTTTCAACCAAATCTTAGAGTTAGGGGTTGTCGTAGTGATTATCGATAGCCTTATAAGTAGATTTGATGGTAAAACTGCCATCATTAAAAGGTCTTCAACAAATAGTACCATTGTTAGCATTGACGTTAGGAGGCTGAACAACAATGATGTGTTTAATGACGTCCTAGTAAAGATATCTACTCAATTGATCAACATTCATCTTCTTGTGGCAAAACAGAAATCATAGACTTTAGCATGTAAAATCAAGTTTGCATGCATAATTAATGAGGGGTTCAGGAAGGGACATCATTTGTTGTACCATAAAGATATGTGATCCCATTCTACCTACTGTCCCTTTTCAATATAATAATATTAAAATTGAAACATCATGTGAAGAGAGAAAAAGAACCTTGACTTTACCACTGTCTAATGCCCAAAAGCATAACCTTACTTTCATTCTATCGTCTTCTTTCCTCTGCTTTTGTTGGGCTACCGTGCATTCTCACTCCCAAAAGCAAAGCCTGACTCTCAGCTCTTCTAATGATTTCATCATTTCAAATCCTCTTATGACTACACCAGGTTGACTTCAAGTTGGCCAAGTTACTGATTGATTGGGTTAGATGGAGAATTAGACCAATAAAAAGCCTAGTTCACTAGTTGACCAAGCAAGTTCGGTCTGATTCTCCATTCAATTTCAAACTTTTGAACTAATTATATAAATGATTAAAAGATAAAAATATTTAAGAATTTTTTCACCAAGAGTGTCCATTGATAAGGGTATTAATTATAGTTTCGAAGGGTTAAGAAAAACAATGAAAAATGGCACCTAAGCTACAATATATTCTAAATTGATTTTGCAAGTCCAAAGATCTTATTTGCAAATATGTTTTCTAATAAAAGACTCATTTGCTTCTCATTTGAAATCTACACAAATTTTTCATATATGTATAACAAAATGTTCACTTATAACATGATAAAATCTAATATTAATAACATAATGTCTGTTCATTATATATAGTATATGTGATTTAGTTGAACAATAATGTATAAATTTTTTAAGTATATGAACAATAAAATATTCGCATATAACATGACAAGGGTAATTTAAAAAATATGTAATAAATGCTTATTAAGATATATGATATTGCTTATAAAAAATAAAAAAATAATAATAATTGTTTTATAAATAAAAATAGAGAGAGTAATGGCTAAGTGTGTAAACGTATTTTTAAAAATTTATAATTTTTTAAAAAATAAATTTATAATGTGTTATTGTTGTGTTTTTTAAGTATATGTTATTTGGTCTCAAATTATCTTATAATTTAGTATAGATGGAGTATTATAGATAATCATTCAATATCTCTAATGAAATCTATAAAGTTATAAAAAATTTAAGTTTCCATAAGTGGCAAGTACTTAATTTTGTAAACAAGTAAATGGAGAATCGAATCTCAATCTTTATGCATATA